TTCTCAGCTTGCACACCTTATTTTCACTTCCCTTGGCACAGAATCCAGGGGGTTGAACCATGTATACTCCCTCCTCTAGGTCACCGTTGATGCAATTCCCAAGTTAGCAGCTAATGACAGGAGAACCCTAATTGCTTTCATCTTAGCTATCGGAGCAAAAGTCTCATCATAGTCAACCCCGTACACTTGAGTGTACCCTTTGGCTACTAATCTTGCTTTGTACCTTTCAACTGTCCCATCTGCCTTGTGTTTAACTGTAAACACCCACTTACACCCCACGGGGTCTTTCCCCCTTTAAAGATCCACCAATTCCCAAGTTTGATTTTTATGAAGAGCATTAATCTCCTCCTTCATGGCATATGTCCATTCGGGGCATTTTAAGGCTTCTGCAACATTTCTGGGAACAGGGATGCAACCAACTGCGGATAGAAAGGTTCGGTATGAGGGAGAAATGTGATCATAGGAGACATACTAGGTAATGTGGTGTTTGGTAGTGCATGACCTGACTCCCTTTCTTTGAGCAATAGGAATGTCAAGGTCATCCACAGTAGGAGTAGGGGTATCAGAAGGTTCAACTGGGATTGGACTAACCTCCTGGAGGCTAACAGTGTCGGTTGCTCAATGTTTGGCTGTTCCACATCTCTATCACATTGCTGATCTCTACGGCGTGTACGTTGGAAGACACGAAAGGGAGCAAGGTCCGAAATAGAAGGAAGAGAGACTTGGCGGACCTGAACCTGTTTCTCCTCTTCCACACTACTACTCTCCCCCTGAGGAGAAGCAGGAAAGAATGGTTCAGACTCAAAGAATGACACATTCATAAACACAAAAAACTTATGACTAACGGGACCAAAGCACCGATACCCTTTTTGAGAGAAGGGATACCCCAGAAAGATACAAGGAATGAACCGAGGGTCTAACTTACCTCGAGATGAAGACAAATCATGGACAAAGGCACGACAACCAAAAACTCTCATGGGAATGGAAAATAAAGGGGACTGAGGGAACAGCAACTGATGAGGGGCCATGTAGTTCAACACTCTAGAGGGCATGCGATTGATGACATAAGCAGCTGCAAGTATAGCATCCATCCAAAACCTTTTTGGAACATTCATGTGTAACATCATCCCGCGAGCTACCTCAAGGAGGTGTCTATTTTTCTTTCTGCAACACCATTTTGTTGTGGTGTTCTTGCGCATGAGCTCCTATGAATAGATCCGTGGGAGGCAAAGAACTCATTGAGCTCACTATGGAAATAATCTTTTGCATTGTCGGATTGGAAGATCTGTATTTCAACATGGAATTGCGTAAATACCATCCTTTGTAAGTCTTTCACAATATTTAGAACTTCGTCTCTACTATGCATAGGGAATACCCATGAATAGCGAGAGTAGTCATCGATCAATGTGATAAAGTACTTATATCCGCCCTCAGAGATTATAATAGTAGGCCCCCATACATCAGAATACACAACATGAAAAGGAACACTTGATCTTTTATTATTTGAGTTAAAAGTTGTTCTACATTGTTTGCTCAACTGACACATTTGACACTGGAAATCTGACATTGAACATGACTTAAATAAAACCGGAAACAAAGACTTTACTATTTCAAAAGAAACATGGCCTAACCGACTATGCCACAAAAAAAATTTGACTCTTATTTGATTGACTATGTGACTCTGAGGATGACACCGAGAGACCAGCTTTGTTGTCGAGAATGTAGAGACCATCCACTAGGCTCCCTCTACCAATCGTCCTCCCAGAAATTAGATCCTGAAAAAACACATGAACCAAGAAAAAATGTTACACTACAGTTTAAAGAGCTTGTGATACTACTAATTGAAAGCAAATTTATAGGAAGTTGAGGGACATGCAATACACAATTCAGGTTAAGGCCATGGGAAAGAGATATTGATCCTTGGCCTGCAATGGAGGAGAATGATCCATCTGCAAGTCTCACTTTATCCCTTCCTAACAAAAGACTATAAGTCTGAAACAAGTTCGGCTTACCGGTCATGTGGTTAGATGCCCCTGAGTCAATAATCCAAGGGGAACCAGTGGTAGTAGCGACATGGAATGCAGAAGCCGCATTACCTGATGTAGATGCAAATGAAGTAGAAGGAGTACCAGTGACTGAACTATCCATCTGGCGCAAAGCCCTACCATATGACTCCAAGTGGTCTCTGAAGGAATTCATTATATCTTCCTTAGGGTCAGAATTAGTAAGGTGGTCCCGGGTAGTACCGGCAACCTGAGTATCTTGGGTTGCCACAGCTGTGAGCGCCGACAGTGGGTACAAAACAACTTGTCTTTATCATCAGCCTTCTTGGTGTCACTTTTCTTCCCCATGTTGTTATTACTCATTGCAGCCAAAGCAACTTGTTGCTCCCCCTCGGTTGTAACCATCAAAATCCGCCTACTTTGTTCCGATTGAACAAGGGCATATACCTCGTGAACCAACGGCAACTCTTTGTTTCCTAAGATCTGAACTCTCAAGGGTTCATAGGCTTAGTCCCAACAAGAAGGCAAACACACGCTACTGAGAAACCAGCTTCCTATAGGCCTTAGCATCGTCATCATGTTTCCACTCTATAGCCGGATAATGATCCAATTCTTTCCATACAGAAGTAAAGGCTGAATAATAGGAAGACAAACTACGATTTCCCTGTTTACAGGTTGAGGATTCAGCTTGCAACTGCCTTGGCATAATGCCTTTGCTCAGAATAGGTAGTTTTAGCCTGTTCCCAAATCTCACTAGCGGTGTCTGCTCACATAAAGTTCTTCTTCACATCAGGTTCCATGGCTGAAAGGAGCCAAGACATCACCATACTGTTTTCTTGGTCCCACCTATCATGTTCAACTATCTCACTCTTGGGTTTTTTCACCCTTCCATTTATGTAACCAGCTTTTCCCCTTGCCGTTACATAAAGTTTTACACTTTTAGCCCACTCCAGGTAGTTTAGACCATTTAAAGGGGTAATGGGCATGGGAAACATCATGTTTTCACTTCCCATACCAGCTAATGTTGTGGGTCGGTGTAACCCCCGATGAAGTTGAATCATAGTTTGCCATAGAGTACTGCTGAATCAGACCAAATCCCACACAACTACACAATAGCCACAATCAGAATACCAACCCTCAAGGAATKTACTTCTGGAATGTGGAAAAAAAAAAAACAAAAAAACTGCTGAAATCAACTCAATGATGGTTCAGCCATTAAAACAACCCAGTAATCAGTCCAACACTAGTTGTTAGAATAGTATACTAGCAGTCCGACTACAGCCCATGCAATCTAACAATCCAGCATCCAAACAAAGATAATAAAACCAAGAAATAAGGCCTTCACACCATTGGCCATAAAAAAAAAGAACACATACCCTGTCCAGCACCGATACGAAGGTGCCAACCAAAAACTAACTTCACAGCATCGAATAGATAAGAAAGGGAGTCTTTTTCTGCATCGCCCTTCTTCTACTAGGGTCTCCTTGATATTACGACCAAGGAAGAACCTGAAGGAAAAGCCGCAAGTAGTCTGCTAGGGTTTCTCTGTCTTCCACGTCCAAGAAATCAAAGAAGAAAAGAGGACGAAGCAGGTTCAAATGAGAGAAAACGATTTTTTTTATAGCCTAGAACCTTGCTCTGATACCATGTAATCATTCATGGAGAGAGAGAGACGAGAGAGAGAGAGAAAGAGAAGAAGAGGAAGATATGATTGAGAGACAAAAAAAACAACTACTTCTGGCTGCCACCAGTTAGTTATTTATATTAACTTAATATAAAAGGAATGGGAGATTACAAGTATGCCCCCGGTGGCACTCCCTAGAAACAAACTAATAAGAAAGAAAGAAACTAACTGACTGACAACATCTTAAGCTGACAACCCACTAACAGCAWCTATAAAATAACAATTAAATAATCCTCACAACAGTGTTGAATCACAAAAGTCCTGCATAAGGCCATTCTAAATTTTTATACAAAACATTAATCACGACATAATGCTCCTCTATCTTATATTTGTAGAAAAGAATAAACAAGTTAACATTAAAATAATTAAATTTTGGAATGGTCACTCATAGCTTGCATATCAAATAAATAAGATTTTATATATAAAAATGCCATATATCTTTTACACCCTATTCTTCTAGCAACCCAGCCGCATCCCTTCTGCTCTCACATATACGGTAGTCTATAGCAACATAACAATTTGAAAATGTGCAACCATGTTTCTTCTGATGTTACCTGAAACATCAATTTTCCAGTGACAGATAATTCTATAAATGGAAACCAGTTTTGCATAATTTCCACTAGTGGCTGTAAAGACACTCTACATGGGCTTGGATAAGTCGGTAAGCCCAATACAACCATTATATCAGAGTCGGACTTTAAAAGCCGTAATTGGATCTTGTCTTCTTGACTACATTGTAAAAATGCCAACCACTGCCAAAGTTACTAATACTCTGCTTGAGCAACGAAACAATCTATCACGACAGCACTACTGCTTTTGAGTTTTGATGTGTCGATGCATTATTATATTTACAATTTTCTATCAATAATTTTTATATTTACAATCATCATAAACAAGCTACTGCTCGTGTTCTAACGTCACAGTGGTTTAGAGTGACAAAATAATTTCCCATATCTGTATGCTTTTTCAATTAATTGAGCGTCAAACTTTCAACAATGTTCAACTTTTCCATGGAGCACTAGTTTTACAAAATTTCGACTAGTAATTAATTGTAAAGGGAGATCAGATTGGTGCGGCCCCCCACATACACATCTCAGCGTGCATTGGGAACACTCCCGTACTTATCATGGGGAGATGTTCCCAATACACGGGTGGGAGGTGCTGTGTGGTGCTTGTGGGGCACCAATTTGATTTCTTGTAAAGGCCCTCTAAGTTCACCTCAATTATTCCTGTAGACAGACAATCACCTCTGTCTGGGCAACACATATGCATTCATCCATTCCTGGTAGGAGAGGGAATTTAGTAAAGATTACCTCCGATAAGAGCAGCATAACCGAGCGTCAGCTTCTGTGACATCAAAAATGCCATCTTCTTCTTGCTGTCGTCTTTATTGGACCCTCCTTCGCCGTCGTTATTATTATTATTATTACCTTCTCTATGATTGTTGTTACCGTCGTCTCCGCCGCCGCCGCCGCCGCCGCCGCCACTGTTGCCACCAAAACCCTCTCCGCCGCTAGTGTCTAGTGGGAGCTCGGTCTGCTTCTTCGACGATTCAACAATCAGAGGTGTCGCTCCGGAGCCTGCCACTAGACGAACTATGCCCCTTGAACGGTGACATTTCCAATCAAAGTAAGTGGTGCGGTGGAACGATAGACTGCCGTTATTTATGCAAATGGAAGAGAGTGAATGAAGGGAAGCCGATCTTATACCCTTACGTCTCTGCGCTTGGGCCGAATCAAATGAAGATGACAGCAGTGGCAATAGAGAAGACTGGGTCGAAACCGTGAAAGACATTGCCACTTCTCCTTGTAGCGGTTCCCTGTCCCCTCACTCCTCGCTTTTTCTATGACCATGGTAGAGGGTGCAGATCGGGCCGGGTTAGGTCGGGAAAGGTAAGCCTCAACCCCATGCCAACCCAAGTCTTTGAAAACCCCTWATTCTAATATGAATGCTTATCCTAAAAACTTCTTGTGAATTTAGAATGGGATTGAGTTGGTTCGATTTATCCCTTCCTTTGTCAAATCTATATATATATTAAAATTGTTCTTGCCATGTCAGCAGCCCTCTCCTTACTTCAAATTTCCCTTCCCAATTTTCTATTTTTTTATTTTTTATTTTTTAATTTCACATAATTACCCATTAAACCAATAAGAAAATCACATATGCTTAAATATTTTTAACAATCATAAAAAGAGGGATTTGCTTTTCTAATATTTAGCCAAATGGCACAACTTCCCCCACTTCCTCCTAAACTATCTCCAATTCCTATTTATACTTTCCCCCACAATTTATCTATATCTATCTAAAGAAATTTTCAATTAAAAAAATTCAGAACTATTTAAATGTTATAAGAAATTATATACAAATTTAAAATATTTACTAAAAACACAAAAAAAAATTAATAGATTTAATAATATTCATATTATTAATAATTCAATATTTTTACAAAATTCATCATGAAAATATGTTGTAACCATATAAATTATAATTTTCCGAATTATTTAATTAAAATGTTATTCAAATAATAAAAAACTAACATTCAAAAATAAAGGATTAAATAAATATTTTAATAAGTAAATATCTTAAATAAAAAAAATAAAAATAGCTAAATAATATAACAAAATATTTAATATTGTGTATAACATTAAAATAAACAAAATTCAAATAATGAAATTTTTTAAATATTTTACATATTATTTAAATATTTAACATGACAAAAGTTTAAATAGTTAAAATAACGAAATTATGTAATATTCATCTTACAAAAAAAATTCAAAAAAGTATAAAAATAATTATAATAGAATTCATAATATTCATATTAATAATAATTTAATATTTTACAAAATTAATAATAGTACAATTATAATTTTATGGATTATTAAATTCAATAAATAATTAATATTTTAAGAATTTAAACAACAACATTATTTCAATAACTGAATAATATTGTAAATAACTAATTTCACTTATTTCAATTAATAATTATAGAAAATAACTATCAACAAAATTATATTTATTAGTAATAATTTTACAATAATAGTATATATTCACTATATATTTATATATACTATATTTAATATTTATTTTATTTTTAGTAATTTTATTGTTTTTATAAATATGCTTTCAATAATTATTTATAAACGTATTTTTATTTTTGTTATTAATAGAAAATTATCAATAAATATAGGAGACTAAACAACTATTATTTAACTTTTGAATTTTAATTTATTGTATTTTTGTTATAAATTTATTTTTAGTAAATATACTTTTTTATAATTGATAGATTAATACTTATTAAAGATTAAACTATTATTTAAGATTACAATATTTATTGACTAATTAGTATATTTTTAGTATTTATTATATTTTTGTAATTATTGTATTTTTATTATATATCTAATATATTTTCATTATAAACTTATTTTCAATGATTGTGTACGTTTGCTATAAATTTTCAATAATTACTGGAGATTCAACTATTGCTATTTATTAGAGATTAGACTATAAATTTAGTTGAAATTAGGAGTATTCAATGATTGGTTCAATTCAGTTTTAGGTTGTTTCGCCAACCAAATCGATCGGGTCAAGTCCGCAATTTATCACTCAAAACCGACTGACCATTAGCGAAAACCCACTAACTCGTATCATTTTGGATCTATTGTTTAACTTTCACTTAACAAAGCATAAGTCCCTGTCACCATGCCTCTCCTTGCTCCATTATCTCCACCCTACATTCTCTTTGACTTTCTCTCCTCTCTCCTTCCCAGCACTCTAATCAAGCCATGTCACCCAACTACCTATAATCTCTCTCCCAAGGTATATCATTTAAACCAATAGGAAAGGCATGTTGCTCCACTCCCTAATCAATTCCTAAAATGTATCCCCCAATCAATATCCACTCTCCCTCATTTAAAATATTAATATTAATTAATAAATAATTAAATACGATTAATATTTAATCCTGATGAAAGGGGACATGTGGACACGACTTGATTAAGAGATGACAGCGCAACCCGGCAAGCCTAGTTCACAACAATTGAGATCGGGTATTCAATCACCTCGGCACAGGGTCACCTCAGCACAAAGTCACCTCGGCGCAGAGTCACCTTGGCATCAAGGCACCTCGACATTCAATTCAGTTCGGAATTAAAAGACCGAAGTATCAGCTCAAGGCTACCGACCCGGACCACCACGTAACGATCCCGAAAGTCTCTCCAACAGACTCCGAACCTCACGGGATCACGCCACGTAGCGGCAGGCCTAATCCTCTCCCCACCCGGATTGGGCGAAATTGATAATCTTTATTGGTTGATAACGTTACTCCCCAATTAAAGCAGAAACGGATCACATTAGGACGAAGATCCCAGAACAGATCTGCAAAACCCGCAAGGGCTCAACTATATAAAGGCAGTAACCCCAATGACACAAGGTACATGTGATTTTACTACTCTTTATCTCTCTAGCTCTAAAAAACTTTTCAGCTCGCAACACAGTTTACTGACTTAAGCATCGGAGAGACCTCGCCGGGTTAGCCACCCTAGGTTCTTTGATTCGCTGTCTTGCAGATTTGCCTAGCTCGCCACCCGATTGGAAGCCAGATCATTCTCCAGCAGGGAGTAATCAGATCGCACTACATCGATTGGCTTCGCCTGTGGGAACACGATCAAAAAGCCTTCTTTACGATACTCTTTTGAATATTAAAGATAATTTAATGTACTTTAAGAAATTTACCATGTGGTTGATACTCGATATATCCTTTTGATCATTTCTATCATTAAATTGAATATTGAGTTGACGGGGACAGTGTTTTCGAAACTGGATCAAACCAGATGGTTAGATCAAAAAAATTAGAACCGAACACCGTTTCACCTCAAAACCGATTTTTGTCAAAAAACAGTTTATTTGGTTAGCGAACTACTGACCTGGGCGGTCGAACCGTCAACCTGGGCAACAGTTTTTGGCCTTTTTTGTTTTTCTTTTTTTATTGTCATAGCGAGTCATCCATTCGGACCGAACAGTCAGACCATTTGACCCCATAACGGTTCCCAATCCGGTCAGATTTTAAAAACCTTGGACAAGGGAGTGGGTGCCTTGCCTTRAGCTTGGCTTGGTGTGCGGCATGGCCTGGCCCAAGGCCTGGCCCATGGACCAGCCTGACCCACGGCACGGCACGGGCCCGTGCGGGCTCAAGTCCCCGTCACCATTTTCATAAAATTACATTTTTGAATATTAAAGACAATTTAGTGTAATTTAGAAATTTACCATGTGGTTAATACTCAATATATCCTTTTGATCATTTCTATCATCAAGTCAAATATTGGGTTGACGGAGACAATGTTTTGAAAACTGGACCAAACCAGATGATTAGACAGGAAAAATTGGGAACCGAACACTGTTTCACCTCAAAACCGCTTTTTGTCCAAAAACCGTTTATTTGGTTAGCGAACCGCTAACCTAGGCGGTCGAAATGTCAACCCAAAAGATAACAGTTTTTGTTCTTTTTTTGTTTTTCTAATTTCATATTTTTTTTTGTTAGAGTGGGTCATCTGTTCGGAACGAACGGTCAGATCGTTCAACCCCAGAATGGTTCCCTATCCGGTCCAATTTTAAAAGCCTTGGATGGGGAGTGGGGTGCCTTGCCTTGAGCTTGGCTTGGTGTGCGGCATGGCCTGGCCCATGGACCAGCCCAATCCCACGACACAACATGGGCCCGTGCGAGCTGGAGCCGTGGGCTGTGCCGAACCAACCCCCCCAAATTATCCTAGAGGAGGGAGGCACGGCCTGGGATGCCTCGTGAGGCAGCACGACACAACTCGCACTTTGTGCAGGCCACATGTGGGTTATGTCGTGTCAATCCAGCACGGCCCAATTTACACCTCTAATTAAACCCGCCCAATACCGGGGATGGGGCAGGGAAATTCGAGGATTCTCTGTCCTTTATGAGGAGTGGGGCGCCTTGCCCCTGAACTCGCCCAACATTGAGGAGTGGTTACCTTGCCCTGAACTCGCGTGACACTAGGGACGTGGCGGGGATGGGGTAGAGTGTCTTGACTATGGGGTAGGGAAAGGGATGGGGTGCCCTGCCCTAAACCCACCCCGTTGTCATTCCTATATAATTGTTAATTATTAGTGGAATTAATAAAAATGATAGCTTTTATAATTATTTTTATTTATTTAAAGTTAATCAAAATTTCATATAAAAATAATAAAAAGAATAAAAATTATTAAAATTACTACAAATTATTAATAAAACTAAATTTATTAAAAAATATTTATTCATATTCAATTAACAATAATTATTTTTTATAAATCAATATTAAATAAAAAATAAAATTATTAAATATTATAGATTTTCCCTTGCACCGTATAGGTCTCTGTTACTCTCTCTCTCTATTTATCTAACTATCTATATAAATAAATAAATATATATATATATATATATATATGTCAGCAGCCCTCTCCTTACAGGAAACCCCCTATTCTAATTTTTTGTTTATTTTTTAATCCATGTATTTTGTAAGAAAACCAATCAAACACGAGAGACGTTTCAGCTTCCAATATGTCTCCTACTCTCCCACCAAGTCCCGAGGGAAAGAACCCCTAACGAGAGATATCTCTCTTCCTCCCCCATCACTCTCCTCTCTCTCTCTCTCTCTCCTGAGTTCTATCTCTGTATTGAGTGAAAACCCAATGTCCCCCTTTCTTTGTTTCGGGAAAAACCCTAGAGTCCTTTATGTCTTTGTACGCCAACATCCAGTTGCAATTTCAAAGGCTATGGGAGAGGTATCAAGGTCAGTGGATCTGTGGTCTCTACGTAGAAGCTGTGAAAGATGAGATTGTCAAATTGGAGAGGCTGATTAGTACTGAAAGAGCGTTCTATTGACTCCACCTCCGAACCCTACAAAGCATCTAATTTCCACCACGAGATAGCTTCTTCACAGAATCTTGGGACTCTCCG